ACAGGATGCAAAGGACTGCACTCTGCATCATCTCTCCCACAAGCCTGTCTCGCTTTACTTCTACCAAGATCTTTTGTACGAAGATTCCAAACGGTCAACTCAGCTGCCTTTGTCAGAACATTAAATGTCCTCCAACCTATGGATAGACAAGTTAACACCTAGGATGGGACGACCCTTGAAGATCTGGTGCCACGTGTCTCCTCATCTAACGGCTCTCCTCTTTCCATCCTTAGTATAAATATCTCTACATTGTGCCATAAAGCAGGAGGGCTCTATTTCGCCAAAGGGGTAACTTTAGGCATGAAAATATGATTCCACTCTTAGAAATATGCACCTATTATTTGTTCTCTTTCTCGACCATGTCCCGGCGATTGTTTAACCGTCGGTGATCATATTCCAGTTGATCTAAGAACTGGCTTAACTGTTGGAGTGCTCGCGGCCGCTTCCAACCCCACCGAAAAAGGTCACAGGTGACTAACGATGTGCCACAGCGTGCAGGAAGGGGCCGATGTGAAGACTTATTCTGTTGGCCACGTGTCGGAGCCATTTTCCGGAGTCAACAAGTTTCACACACGAACGACCACCCAAAGGTATGCACCTCGTGATTCATAGATGGAGTTCGGACAGTGCCTTCCATGTTCGTGTTCTTTTAGTTATGAATCAAGCGATCCATAGCCACCTCAACCAATGATAATCACATTAATGATGAATATTATTACTCATTCAATGTTAGTGATGAAACCCGACGCTAACCACACCTTCCAGCTCCCTCCACCACTTGATCGGTGATGGCAAAGAAGGTGAGTGTTGGTAGAGGAGAGACCATAGCGACAATTCAATCTTAGAATCTAACATTAGATATATATCATATCAAGAACCAAAATAATCGGTGCAAGAACATCAAAATAATGGAGTTTTTATTATAATCAACAATCGCGTCGACAAATCCGAACAACCACGGTTAAAGCATTAACATCTTCAAGTAATCACATGGGAGACATTGCACCATGACTTTTACTTGCAAGAGTAAATAAAATTCTTAATATCATCGTACAAAGCTTTAGCAAAATTTGGATCAAATATCTCCACACCATGATGACCTCCATCAATAAATTTATATATCACGTGCACTCCACGTGCCTCCAGCATCTTCACAAACTCCTTTTGCCTATCAACCAGTGGGTCCCCTTCATACCCCCTCACCATACACATTGGCAACCGTTGGATCTTCTCATCATGGGACCCACCAATCAATGGATTGCAATATTCATGATCTTTATCAGCATTCTTTGGCAATGCTAGTGACCACATCAAATCATTTGCATGCAGAGGAACAATATGATCATTGATGAGTTTAAGCTCTGATTGGGTCCTCTGCACCCCACCGTAGTAGGGCTGATTCATTATCAGCCCTTGGATTTTCACTGGTTCAAGGTCAACGTCCAGTGCACGTAGACCTGCATTGTACACCATGTTGCCTCCCGCACTGCTCCCCATTAAGAAAGTTTTAGAAAAGTCAGCAAACTCTTTCATCCACGGATCAGAATCACTCATGGTAGCTTGATTTTTAGCCCACATTATAGCCTCCATTGCATCATCATACGCCGCTGGCAGGCGGTGTTCCGGTGCCAGACGGTACTCGACAGAAGCGACCAATGCAGGGAACTCGGCCGCCATGTGGTTGCATGATTCATGGGAAAAACTAGTCGTTGCACTGAACAAAACAAACCCACCGCCGTGGAAATGGATGATAAGTGGAAGCTTGGTGATTGAAGGCGGATTTTTAGGCCGAAAGAGGCGGATGAAGGTGCCGTTAGTGGCGTTGAGAGGTACATCTTTGGAAATGACGACTTGGGTGGTTGAGTCAACGTCAATTTCAGGATCTGCCGGTAGAGTTGGAAAAGAGTCGAGTCTTGTAATTGAGCCATCAGGATTTGGCACGAGTTTCAGCTTCTTGTAAGCATCATCTTCTTCCATGGAAGCTGTCTTTTGATGATCAGACATTTTTGTTATTGCTAAAGAGAGAAGAACGCTTGTAAATAAAGAAATAGTGCTTGTAATTAATTAAGTAGTTGAGGTAGGCGTGCCATGCGGTGTAACTTTAGTACCATGCCAACTATAATATTTCCGTGGTCTAGAAATAAAGTATGCAGACGAAATAGTAATAAAAAATATTACTACAAATTTAATGTCCCAAATATTTGGTGTAATACAATACACAAAAGGTGGCTCTGACTATTTATCGACACGTATTAAATACGTTGAACTCATTATTTAAATAGAACTTACATACACGTCAATTAAAAAGTAGTAGCAAGTACTAAATTTTATACTTCAGAAGTACTAAAAATTTTCTCGAAATAGAATACCCGTTTTTATGCCCCGGGCCCTAACCCAATTAAGTTGCCAAGATTTTAGCTTCCACGATATTGGTACCAGATGTTGCAAATAGATACTTCGTTCATGTTCAGTATAACAAACAAAATTTTGACTTCTTTTTCTTCCTCAGTAGTCGAGGGTTATTGTCTTATATAGAATTTTCAAATAATAATCAAGCATAGAAATATCGCAATCAAACTCTCCTTAAAAGGAGATGATAAATGAAGTTATGGAGTTGGATGGCATAAGCAGCAGATGTGACTAACATAGCATTTGGGTCGCATAGAATAACTATCCTCCTACAGTTATCTGTCCATACATTCAAACATCAGAAGACAGAGTAAACAAACATGTTGGAAAATATAGAATGAATGTATAGAGATAACCTGTTGAAATGAGTCACGTGTCAACCTCGTTCGATGTTCACTTATCGACAAGAAAGGTAATTTTGATGCATTAAGCAACATTAGTCAGATATTGAAGTACTCAGTCAAAATAGGGTCATTGTAAAGTAGGGCAATTAATTCATCAGCAGCAGAATCCAGTTGTCTAGTAAGAAATTTCCATTACCTTGTTCATTGCAAGCTGGCAATTTCCATAGACCACATTGATGTTAGGATGTGCAGGATGTGGAGAACAAAGAATACAGTAGCTAAAATAAGAAAATTTCAACTTTAATAGAATCACGTGACTAGGAGCAGTTAACTGTCTTTCTGGTGGCAAAAACTCGATGTACAGGCTGCAGAAAAAAAAGAAGGCTAGAAGCATTAAATTATAAATGAATTGACTCTGACATGAAAAAGAACAATAGATTGTAACTTTAGGGAAGGGGAGGGGAGGAGTGTACGGCTAATGTGAAATCATTTCTTCGACTTGGTCTGATGGATATATAGGGAATGTAAAATACATCTCGCACTCACTATTCACGAAGGTTAGTAGATGTAAAACGAAACGTGACACCATCAGATTGCAGAGGAAGTTTATCTATGTTGTAACATCTCACAGATTTGTTTCTTCATACACATAGAATCCACATTTCTTACCTTCTGAGTAAAATTTGACGCCTCTTCCTCACAGTATGCATAGCATTAGCTTCTAGTCTCAATTTTATCTAACAGTAACAAAAACATTACAATCAAAAGGAAAACCGCATACACCATGAAAGCAAGTCTATTTGAAATTTGAAAATAACAGAAGCGCTGACCTTCTTAAGATATTAACGCCCAAAATGGCACCAGAAGGTCCTCGGTTACATTGAAGAATCAATCTGTTCAGTTCCTTGAATTCCCAGATTACTATCTCATACGACCTCAATACATGCATTTAACATCAGGGTGCAGAGGATGAACACTTTTAATATGAACATTAGGGATTCCCTTTAAATTTTGACACAACCTTCTAATGGATTTGTTGAGTTGAAAAAAAAAACATGATGTTTAAGAATTCTTGATTGGGCAATTCAGATCTCTTTTTCCCAATTCGATAAGTGCTCATGCCTCGTATTAAAAAGGCATCCACATCTTTGATTATTCCTCAGAAAATGAATAGAAACCTTCTCCAACTTCAGAATTATCCAAACAAAATGCAATAGAATTTAGTTAATGAGCATAATGTTAAAGCAAATTGCACCCGAATGGGGCTCTTAGAAATAGCATGTGCATGTAGCCCACAATTCACATAAGTTGATTCATGACTAAGCAACAAATTCCAGGGAGCATGCATATATAGCAGACTTCATATATTTATGAATAATAATTTCATATATGATACTTCCACTCTAGTTTGCATGTAAATGAAATATATCAATCACAATCTGCTTCTTCGCTTTCCTATTTATTTTTATTTTTATTTTTTGTTGGACACTAAAGGAAGCCAGATTAGTAAGACAAAGATCATCAAACTTGATATAAGAGCAACCCAAAGGAACCACCACAAACATCTTAAACGTAGATGCCATGTGTGAGATTTTAGTCATTTGCTTTCTAAGGTGCTTTATATTTGTATGTTGAGACTTTTACACATAACTTCGTGCTATGTATGAGTGACCTCATGTAGCAAAACATAAAAGGAATATGTATAAGTAGGACGTAATCATTTTCATATGGCTGGGTCCTAGTAAGGTTCTTCTGGGCTGTAATTGATGTCTTTTCAGAAAAAAAGCTCATCTCTTTTACAAGGCAGCAAACAACTAGAAAGTAAAATGTTTTCCGGGCCCAAAAAGATTATAGTTCTAAGTCCATAAAAGGTAAAAAAGAATATCATTAAAGGCAATGGCACTAAATTTTTGTTCTCAGATGGCCTCACCACTTAGAAAGTGCGAAAATATCACATACATATACCCAAACTTTATGCAAGGGATTCCCATGCATCAACTCGTCATTGGAGTATAATCCAGGGGCTACGTGTCCCTTTATCATCATTGCCAAAAGAAGTCAAACAAAATGGAATATGAGACACAATTAGTATGAAAATGAGAAAGCAAATGAGATATCCACATTTTCCATTTTTTTATATTCCCCACAGTTGCTTACTACAGATTATTACCTAAATAAAGTTCGTAACAATAAATGTTCTATACTAATAAAACAGATACAGAAAATGAAAATTGGAAAGTGATCAACTCATTGAGGCTTTTTCCTTGACTTGAAAGGAAAATTGGATGGCGGTGAAGGGGAAAACTCAAAGGGCAAGTGGGGTGGCTCGGACTCACCAGAAAGCATTTCCACAATTTCTTTCATGTCAGGGCGCTTGTTAGGTGATCTTTGCAAACAGAGGAGTGCAATAGTGATGCAGAGTAATGCTTGTTCTCGGTTCAACGACTGGATGTTTGCGTCAACAAGATCCAATAGCTTCCCATTGATAGCCATTTGCCGAGCCCATGAAATTAGATTAGCCCTTTCAAATTCTGACATTGGCGAGGCTGTTACCTGTAGCGGCCGTCGCCCTGAAACCAAAACTAATAATAGAACACCAAAGCTGTACACATCACACTTTGCAGACACCTGACCCCCACCACCATACTCAGGAGCAATGTAACAAACAGTTCCTCTCATACTTGGAGTACTACTAATGCCTCCACTCTTGGGGATATCTCCACTAGCCCAATCTTGACTATTTCTTCTACCAATTCGAAACTCCCCACTAAAACCATCCAGCCACCGATCAATGCTGCTTCTGCTACCCTTGCTCTTCCTTCTCTTCTTCTCTGGCACCACATCCTCGTCCCTTTGCCACCACAATTCCCCTTCATTATCCGATTTAAGCCCCCTTTTCTTCTTTTTCTTTGCCAATTCCTCACAGAACTCCTCCTTCCACCATTCTCTAGGTTTCCTAGACTTCTTCTCCTCATCCAGTGATGTCCACCAATCCAATTTCTTCTTGTGCTTCTTTTGCTCCATTTTAGGACCATCTTCCACCGAGCTAGTAGTTGTGATCCATTCCTTCTTAGGTCTTTCTTTCTTGATCTCACTCCCAATCCACTCCATTACATAGTCCTTGATCCTCCCCGAATCCGACAATCCGCCAACAATATCCTGCTTCCACCACCAATCCCGCCCAGACTCACTCTTCCTCCTTCCACCACCCCCCTTTCTGTTCCCACTTTCAACACTAATTCTATCAAAAAGCCCCTCTGAAACACTAGTCTTATCCAGGCACTCAGATGGTGATGCATCCACGGCTCCCCCCTCCCCATCCAATATCCTCAAACAATAACTCTCTGGAGATTGATCCACATTCACAACCACCGCACCATCTGTCATAACGCTCTCATTCTCCTCCATTATCGACCCATAATCCTCCCCCTTCTTCTCAATTTTCTCATCCTCCTCAACAATCTCTTCCTCTCCAGTCAAAACCTGGGCTAATCCGAAATCAGCAATCTTTGCATTAAAATTAGAATCCAACAATATGTTTGAAGGCTTAACATCACCGTGAACAATATGCGGATCACAAGTGTTATGCAAATAATCAAGACCTTTTGCTATTGACATTATAATAGCGAACCTCATTTTCCAGTGCGTTAACTCTGAGCACTTTCTATCTAACAAGGCATCCTGTAAGCTACCATTTTGCATGTACTCATAAACAAGTAGTAATCGTCTTCCTCTTCGCTTCCTCCGGCAACCATAATAGCAACTTTTGTTATCATTATACCCGTCCGAGGAGGAGAACCCGAGTACAGATACGACGTGAGGGCAGCACGTAGTGTCTATACTGGATGCAAGGGAGAGTTCGTTCTGGAACTCTCTCTCACCTTGGAAAGTGCCGGAGGAAGCCTCACTCATGAGCTTCACCGCGATCTCCAGCCCAGATGGTAGAATCCCTTTAAAAACTGACCCGAATCCCCCCTGTCCGAGGCGGTTGGAAGGGTTGAATGAATTGGTGGCGCTGCGGAGTACAGAATAGGAAAAGCGGCGCGGGGACAGTTGATGCTTCAGATCCGCTGGTGCCGTCCTTCTGCGGGAAATTTTCCGATATATAATGGCAGAGAATAAGAAAAACGCCAAGGCTATTGTGGCGGCTAAAATGGGTGGAAGGAGAGGGATTTTGCTTCGTTGGTGTTGGTGGGATGGCGGTGGCGGAAGTGGTGGCATTGTTGTGTATAGTGCGGAAAGATAGTGTCTTTACTTGATCGGAAAAGACTAGTGAATACGAAGAAGAAAGAAGCAGTGTGTTGAGAAAGTGTATCACTGAATCACCTCCTTCTGTTTGTTATCCTCTTCAGACTCCCTCTCTCTCACCTGTTATTTTGTCAGTTGTTTAGTCAAATGCTAAAGCTACAGCACCGTGATATATCAGTGCGGGTGGGAGTGTTGTCAGCGCGAGAGGGGGGCGGGGGGAGTCCAGGGGTATCAAAATGCGTCTACGAGCGTTTTGAAATCTCAAACCTGGCTCGTTATGGTGCTTTCCCACTCGTGATGTATGCATTGCTTGTTCATTGACACTTGAAGTAATCTATGCAAATAATGCTCGACGAAGAATAAAATCTTCTTGTGTGAAGATAAGATTCAAAAATTATAGCTCATGTCGCTGTTGTGTCTAGATATAAATTGTATGGAACCTAGATAATTTAGACATGTTGGAGAATCCAAATTGAATTATTCTTGTGGTACATCACAAGATACATAAGGGTGTCCATAATGGACACCCGGCACCCCTCTATTGGTTGGAGGACTTGTGAGATCGGCACCCCAACCAATGAAAGAGCGCCGGATGTCCATTGTGGACACCCTTATGTAACTTGTGATGTACCACAAGAATTGTCCATCCAAATTATGAGAGAACTGGTGAAAAATAATTGAGAAGTGAAGTGGGGTGGGGTGGGGTGAATGAACAAGTTGACTAACAACAAGCTGTAAACATCAACATATTCGTTTGCTTTTAAACCAATATAAAAAAATTTAACATTCTTGTCCTTTTTATATTTTTGTTTTTGAGTACTGGTTGACATTTTGTAATTTCTACTTAGAATTCATCTACACTCACTTAAACGAAAAAATCCAGAAAAGAGACAAACATGTGGGGCCCACATTTTTTATTAATATTTTATTCAGGTGGGACCCACATGCATGTGAGTATCTGTAGAAGTTCGACAATGAACAATTCTGGTAAAGCAACATTTTTCTTCTACTTAACTTCACATAATAATCCAAAAGAAATTGAGGGATTATTTGACAAATACTCTGATAAAAATTAATGAAATATGTGATTAAAAAATTATGGATCTCATAAAAAACTCGGTATACTACACAAATCAGCATTGAATTCGATTACTTATTTCTACATATATTTTTACTTTTTTAAGCTATGGTCAATAAAATTTAATAGTGGTGTGAAGTTGACCTTAAAGTTTTCTGGTAGTGAAAAGTAAAAAGTTTTATTTATATATTTTTTCTAAAGGATTATTGTGTAAAAAGTAAAAAAGACAAGGGTACAAAAAGAAAAAAACAAAGTGTCGGGGAACGTAAGTAAAAAATACAATGTGGTGTAGTTGTCACTGGTCTCTCGTATTCTCTTGGATGCTCGTGCCAAAGTTGAGTAATCACGTGCTGTCTTCCCTCATCGATGCAACGCGCCTTTTACATTCGCGTGAAGTGCACAGCCTTTTGACAATGCTAGCGACAAATCAATTACGATCCGTTTGATTGCAAGAATGGAAAGTGGATGAATTTCAAGTAAAATAATTATTTAGAAAATGTTTTGTAGGGAATTATTAATTAAATGTGTTTGATTGGTATAATTTTCCACCAGGAAAATTTTAAAATTTTATGTTCGTTTGGTTTTGTTTTACATGGAAATTGTCCATTAAAGTGATATTTTTTTCCACAATTGGTTATAAAATTTGTTTCCATTGCCAAAAAGTAAAAAAAAAAAAAAAAAAAAAAAAATTTTGAAATTTTTAATCTTTTGGTGTTCGTTTGACTTTATTTTCCATGTAAATTGTTCATTAAAGGGAAAAAAAAATTTACAATTTTCCCTAAAATTTTTTTTCATTACCAAAAAAAAAAAAAAAAATGACAAAACCCAGAATTCATTTTCATCATTTCCTGCCATGCACGGAAGAAGGCTCGTAGAGGGAAAATAAAAGTGAAATTTTCCATGCCAAATTATGGTTATCAAACACTACTAAACATGGAAAGTTGGAAATTTTTTTTTGTTTTCCACCCATTTTCTAGGCTATCAAACAGGACCTTAATTTAATTCTTAAGAATATTTAATGGAAGAGTAACGTTATTTGTCGTCGTTCACTATTGAAATTATCATATATTGCATAATGTGACGGTTAGCGGTTTGATGCATTAATGTATTAGTTTTTTATTGTCTCATGTATCAAATCATTAATCACATGTATGTTACGATTGTGATAATGAGTTATTGCAAATATTATCAGCAAGGAAATATACAACCTGCTCGTTTATAATTATTGCCTACTTTGTGCAAATTGCCACTATATTCATTTGGTATGTTCTTGAATAAAAATAAAAAGTCATGTTTATTGATATTAAATTATTTATTTGACATAGGCCAAAAACTTGTCTAGGAAAAGAAATATTTAATGTAAGTGAAATTAATGGATTATTTGATAAAGTTTTGTGATGAAAAAAGTTCATAAAATTGTGAATTTCATAAAATATATTGTTAAAATTGATTTTTTTTATTTTTGTATCAACTTTTAGCGATTATTCAAGTTGCACTAACTCTCTGTTTGGTATGAATTAAAATTCATTTTTTTTAATCAAAATCAAATCATTAATTATTTTTAATTATATATTTCATCAACTTTCATCAAAATTTATTAAAAATTTGATTTTAATTCCCATAAAAAGGGTGGCTATAAATAAGCACTTAATTTTGCTTGGTATTTACTTTTTATGGAGTTTTGTAATAGAGTAATGCCATTTATTATACTCACTGGAGTTGAGTCTCAGTTTATGTAACAATTACATGGTATTAAATGATAAATTTATTTAAATACAAAGTCACATGACTCATTTAATTGAGTCTATCGTTTAATACCATATAATTGTTACATAGATTGAGGCTCAATCCCATTGAAAATGAATAGCATTATTCTTTGTAATATGGTGAACATACGGTGGTTCAACGTTTTACTTTTAGGGTTTCGCGAAGTTTAAGGTCAAAAGTAAAAAGCTTTAAATTTCTTTCATATGTCAAACGTCATACCCCATGCATGCTTGTCGGGGGCCTCGAATTGACTTCATGCTTGAATTTTGATATAAAGAAAAAAGAAGAGAGGTGTTTATAATAATACCGTACAAACCATGTCTAAAAATAAAATTACAGTAAATCAATTCTCATTTTCAATCACACATTTTTCAATAAAATAATATTTTCCATTACATCAATACTTTTTTTCTTCTTTTTCAACCACACATTTCCAATCATATCACTATTCAAAAATCAATTTTTCCTCTAAAAATTCCAACCAAACACACTCTTAGTCTCAAAAGGTGAGGCCATTTTCAACAAGTAAAATAGTTTACTTTTTTAATGAATTACATATAAAAAACTAAAACTCAACTCGGGCTTGACGTTGGTTGTGATTGTGATACTTCAAATTTCAAATAGCTTTTGCTAATTTCGACAAAGTACTAATTAATTAATTAATTAATTAATTATTTCAAATTTTACTCATATTAATCTTTCTAGTTTTGATTTTTGGCTGAAGTTGATTTTCGAAGAAGTGATTATGTACAAAATAAATTTTTTTGAACGCATATGTGATCAAGAAGTAGAAAAAATTATGGAAAATGAATTTTTTTAAGAAAGTGATCGAAAAAAATAATTTAAAAAAATTCAATTTCAAACGAATATTCAACACGCAAAATGTATAAACACGTTTTTACTAGGATCAAAGTTGTCAACTTGTTCCTTTTTGGACAGAGAGGATGTTCACGGGCGTTATTGTTTGCTTGGTTAGTACGAGAATCATGAAAGAACCAATCTCCAATATCGAATATTATTTTGATGTAACAACCATATATTCTGCAATTTGTCACTATCCTAATATCCAATTTTAATTTTTGTTAGATTTATAAATTATTTTTTACATGTTCTGTTGCAAGCGTGTAGCCAAGAGACTTCATGCCCGTGATTTATCAAAAAATGCATATTTTTTTTTTTTTCATTACATCTTTATATTGACGTTCTTGCATTTGAAGTTTATTGTAAAAAAGGTCTTCGTCTTACTTTTTTTTTTTTTTTTGGCATTTTCATTCCTATTTACACATTTCATTGTAGATATCATCATTTTCATTTATTTCCATCCATTTTTTAATAAAAAACTGTGAAATGACGAATATACCTTCCTATTTATATAAAAGAAAAAGAAAAATAAAGAGCTAATCGTAACTATACTCCCAATTTTTTTTAAAAAAAAATGAAAACGATTCCCAAATAAATTATTAAAATATTTGAAATTAAAAAAAAAAATCTGTCCCAACTCTCACCTCACCCACGGCATCTTCATCTTCTCCTCCTCCCACGACCACAGCCACCACTGACCATTGCCAACCGCCATGGCCACACCGTTTACCATCCCCGCCTTCCACAATCATCACTCACCGCACATATGGGCATAGAAACAACCAACCCAATATATCAGAGTTGATGCTAAAACTTTACAATAAATTCAATCAGGCTGAACTCCGGTACGATTCCAATGCAATTTTAAGAATTGAGGTTCTATCTTAAAAGGTTAAACATTATTAAGAGAAGTAACACAATCCTTTATAAGTTGATTTATGTTTACATTTTTATTCGATGTGGAATTCTATTCCTTAACATGCCCCCACAAGATGGTGGCTCGTTTGAGCAGGCCAATCTTGAAATCTGTATGTTCACTTTTGGAGTTTTAACTGAATTGAATTGCTCGTTAGAGTTTAATGGACTCCGATATCATGTTAAATATTGAGGTTCCATCTTAAAAGGTCAATTTTTTTAAGAGGAGTAACCTAATCCATTATAAATTGGCTTATGTTTACATCTTCATTCGATGTGGGATTCTATCCCTTAACATGCAACTCGAGTTCAAACTCGATTCTGAGCTCAAATTATCCAAACAAACTATTTAGGCTTGTCAAGAACAAAGGATAACCAAAAAATGAAATTATAGCAACAGGTCGAATACTCAAATTGATACAAAAGAAAAAACAATATTTCACTGAAGAAAGTGATAATCAATTTTGGGGAATTAACTAGCATACCTCTGTTGTACTGGAGTTAATTGAATTGGAGTTGCTTTGGCAGAAAATTCTGTGAAGCCTGCGAGTCTAATTCCACGATGGGAAAGAGAAATTCATGAAAAGAGGAGATTTATGGTGGAAATGGAGATAATAGGGGCGGACTATGGGAAGGCCGACGGCGCGGGAAGTTGTAGCTACCCGAGCCATGACGGCGAAGTAGCGGCAGTTTTCTTTTGTGGAGCAAACAATTCAATGTATAATTTCTCAACAGCGGATACGGATTATTCTAACGAGATATATATTGATTGTGAAATGGATTTAGATATACTAATATTGTTTGTAATTTTTAACACACAATGTCATTAGGGAAATGGGTTTTCAAGATTTGGAAGGTAATGTCGCGGCGGCGGGGAGGTTATCTTCGCTGGACCTTTGGGTATGGCCCGTATGGGTTTGGTTTTGGGAAAAATTCATAAATCTGGTGTATTCTATACACCAATTCAAAAATAAGGTTTATAGTTTGAAACTTCAAAAATCAGGTTTTTTTTTTTAAATTCTAATAAAATATAATATAATAAACCCACCCCACATGCACCAGCCCCTGCTCCGGTGACTATTCCGACGACCATTCCGACTACCACTCTTCTCCGGCTCCAATTCCGGCGACTGCTCTGATTCCGGCGACTATTCCGGCGAGGTCACAGATTTTTAAAGAGTCACGTATTATTATATTTTTAGATCACATTTTGATCACAGATTTACAATTTAGTTAGTCACATATTATTTTACGGTCACAGTTCAAAAATTTTGTAGGTCTCAATTATTTCTTTGGTCACATATTTCAAATTTAGTTGGTCACATATCAAGATTTATAAGTCACATATCAAAATTTATAGGTCACACGGTCACATATTTCAAAAACTGGTTGGTCACAGATTATTTTTGAGTCACATATTAATAAATTTTTAGGTCACAGTTGAGTAATCAGTCACAGATTACCAAATATTTGATCACATACCCTCAAATACTTGGTTACATAACCAAGTAATTGGTCACATACACCAAATAGAGGTCACACACCACACCACACCACCGTCACCAACACCGCTTGTGACCACCCGCACCTCGGCACCACCACAACAGCACCAACGCCACACCACCACCACCACCACCACCACCGATGAAAGCCGCCACCATCAACGCACATCACCAACAAAAAGTCTATGAGGTTTTCAACGCACATCACCACTCTGGATCTGAAAATCGCCACCACCAACATCTCAAAAAACACCATCCAAAAACCCTAAACCAATCCGAAAATCACAAAACAACCAACCCACCAATAACACCTCCATCACCGCCAAATCCACCACATCCAACCACATATATATCTCACGGCGTCGATCTGAAAAGCGTCTCCAACGCCACCTACACCACCAGAACACAGAAGAAGAAAAAAAAACCTAAAAGGCAGAGAAATTGCTGCAGGGAAAGCGCTTTCCCAGCAGCGAAATCGCTGTTGTCCCCAGACTCCATTGCTACTGGACAACCATTGTAGCCCTAAATCGACGCTCACACCTACCACCATCTCCATTGCTGCAACAGCGATGACCGCTACACTCGCTATCTCCGATGCAGTAACGACGTCAGCTCCGTTGCACCTAAAAATCGACGATGACCGCTACAGCAAAAACCACCCTAACCCTAAAACCACAAACACTCCAAAACCCAACAAAATACCACCACGCAATCCATGCACACACCACCACGGTCACAAATCACGCCAAGCATCGCCAACCACGTACACGCACCTCCGACGTTCAGATCTGTGGGTTCAGATCGCCAATATTTCCAACTAAAGTGAGACGGTGAAGAGAGGGGGAAATGATGAAAAAGAAAGGGGAAATAGATCTAGGGCTTGGCCTTCCTAGCGTCGGTGCCGGCGCCGTCGTCGTCGTCGCCATCCTCGCAGCGAGACAGCCGGAGGTCGTGAGAGAGTTTAGAGAGAAACTGAGATAAGAAATGAGTAAAGAATTGAAATTATTAGGGTTTGTAATTAAATTGTTTGAATAATGTTTAATTTATAGATACCTGATTTTGAATAATGAAACTTAATCCTTGATTTTTGAATTATAATCTTTAAACACCTGGTATTATGTAATTTTCCCTTTGGTTTTTATTTGTATTTGATCTCTATTCTGGGCTTCCGGTGATCGTAAAAGAAGAAAAAGAAGTTGTTTAAGGGTGTGTTTGATAGGGTTGTTTTTCCATGGAAAATGGAATTGGTTTTTCATTTTTCATGTTTTTTTGTGTTTGATAGTGTTGATATCCGATCTCACCAGGTAGCTTTGACCTGGAAGGTAATCCGACCTCACCAGGGAGCTCCGACCTGGGGAGTAACGTTGTTATCCGATCTCAACAGGCGAGCTCCAACCTGGGTGTAATTCGACCTCACCATGGGAGCTCCGACCTACGATTTCGTTAAATACAGTCAGTTACATGCATTAAGCTCATACTAATATGAGCTTGGATATGTGAGGTCGGCTCGGATCTCGAGTGGCTTATTCAAGAAGCTTGTGTAGTCCTTCAAGGAGAAATAATGAATAATGATTAAGAATCACTAACAGGATATACGGGCTACCAATCAACAGAGTGCACATGGAAATGTCTTATGTCAGGAGACATAATGATTAAGGATCACTGACAGAATATATGACCTACCAATCACCAGAGTGCACATGGAAACGTCTTATGTCAGCGCCCACATAATTCTCCAATCAGAAGTGTTAGCATTCCCCACTAAGTAATGCATTAATTGTTGGGGACAACCTATAGGAATAAAATCATAATGACATGACAAGCCTAGCTTGGCAACCAATCAAGATGTGCCATTGGCATACCTTCTTAGCTCGGTACTGTAGTTGATGTGACGTGGGAGGGCCAAGTTGCTTGACTAGAGGCCCATAAATAGAAGCTATTGGAAGGAGAAAAGGGATCCGAATACTTTGCTTCAATTAATACAAGCATTATTATTCTCCCACTATCCAAGAAGCCAAAATTACTCCCGCTCGACCTCATCGTGAGCTGTTTTTATCAACCTCAAATAACCGATGAAGAGTCAACAGAAAGCCTTGTAGATAACCTATTTTTGGAGGCCAATTGGCTGTTTTGGGAACATATAAACATGACTTAATGGTTCCCTGATGGGAGGTGGGAATGACATACAATATATATTCTACAAGCTTTTCTTTGTAATACAAATTTCTCTCTTTTTCTACTATTTTAGCAATTTACCTCTTACAAATTATCAATTAAGTTGTATTTTATTAGTTTGAATAACTTATTTATAAACAGAAAATTCTGTGAAGCCTGCGAGTCTAATTCCACGATGGGAAAGAGACATTCATGAAAAGAGGAGATTTATGGTGGAAATGGAGATAATAGGGGCGGACTATGGGACGGCCGATGGCGCGGGAAGTTGTAGCTACCCGAGCCATGACGGCGAAGTGGCGGCAGTTTTCTTTTGTGGTGCAAACAATTCAATGTATAATTTCTCAACGGCGGATACGGATTATTCTAACGAGATATATATTGATTGTGAAATGGATTTAGATATACTAATATTGCTTGTAATTTTTAACAACCAATGTCATTAGGGAAATGGGTTTTCAAGATTTTAAAGGTAATGTCGCGGCGGCAGGGTGGTTATCTTGGCTGGACCATTGGGTATGGCCCGTATGGGTTTGGTTTTTATTTGTATTTGATATCTATTCTGGGCTTCCGGTCACCGTAAAAGAAGAAAAAGAAGTTGTTTTAAGGGTGTGTTTGATATGGTTGTTTTTCCATGGAAAATGGAATTGTGTTTTTTGATGTTTGATAGCATTTTTTTTCATGCCAAATGTTTTGCAACCTTCCCTCCACGTGCACATTTTCCCTTAAATTGGTGAAAACATTTTCCCACCATTTAGACAGGAAATTGTTTTTCAGGTGTTTTTTTTTTTTGGGCAATAAAAACAAATTCCATGACCAATTGTAAAAAAAAAAAAAAATTTCACTTTAATGGACAACTTTCATGTAAAACAAAGTCAAACGAACACTAAAATTTTGATGAAAAAATGATTTTTAGGAAATATTTTTTTTTATACTTTTTGACAATGGGAACAAATTTTATAACCAATTGTGAAAAAAATTATCATTTTAATGGACAATTTCCATGTAAAATAAAGTCAAATGAATACAAAATTTTAAAATTTTCCAGGTGGAAAATTATACCAATCAAACACACTTAATTATCAATTCCCTACAAAACGATTTCTAGGTAATTACTTTCCCTGAAATTCATTTTTTTTCCACCATTGCAATTAAACGGACCCTAATTGTCATCGTGGTGGTGGTGGTGGAGGAGAAATAATTTCTTATTTTTTATTTTTAAAAATTTATTTGAGACTTTTTTGCACATTTTTAAAAAAATTGGGAATATGATTTTAATTAGTTCTTTATTTTTTGTTTTTGTTTTATTTAAATAAATGATATATTCGTTATTTTTCAACTTTTTACTGAGAAATTGAATGAAAATGGATGAAATAATATTTTTCGCAATAAAATTTGTAAATAAGAATGAAAATGTAATAAATATAATGTAAGAACGTTTTACACAATGAACTTCAAACGTATGAATGTTTTGTACTAATAATCCTAATGTAAACTAATATTGGAACCATTTCAAATTATAGAATTAATCTTCTGCTCTTATTACTTCAAAAAAAGCCAGTTCTTTTTTAAAAAAGGAATCACCTTCAAATAGTTCGATTTTTCCCCTACGGTGATAAGGGGCTAAAAGATGTACTACTCTCTGTGAGTATGATAAAACTTCCTACTGTTGATATGATAAGAACACCTTAATTATGGTTCTCTACCCTGTTTCAAATTAATTCTTAACCAATTCGATGAAGTTTTTAAATTCATAAAATGGACAAAAGTAACTAAAACGTTGCAAATAGTGGGAGGGATTATTACCTTAATGGATCATGCTATATGTACCAAATTTCTTTAACGAATCTTTTACCTACTACTCACAATGTGATGAAAATCACATTATCGTAATTTTTAAATATACGCGGCCCCAAACATTATGTGAGAGGGGATAATCCATTATGTACAAACTATTATGTACAAATGGATTAACCCTTAACTCATCCTGCTAAGAAAGGTGCTGCTTGAGATGGCGAAGTAGAAGACATAACCAGCCAGAATCACACATTTTAAACCCAAGTTAATGAACAGTTACCACTTGTATTGTGTTGCCAATTTTTCACACCAGTCCACTGTGAAAATAAATGAATGAAGTTTAAATTTATAAACTAATTCACATAAACAATCAACACAATTCTACAGAGGCTTTGCACCACCATTTTCTTGGACAGAGTTCACTGGCGTGGAGGAGCCGCTCCTCTTAGAAGCATTAGATTGCCCTGTAATTGTCCTGCCCATGAACTTTCCAGCTTTACTTAGACCACTGCTGAAGGCTCCAAGACCACTACCAACAATTCCTGCACCAGCACCTATGCCACTTCCCACGAGTCCAACTCCAGCACCGATACCTGTACCCACCACACCAACACCAGAACCAATCAGTGAGGCAGCACCGTCTAGGGCATCCATAGTGCTCCCAATAACTCCAGCTTCTTTCAGTTTCTTTCTTTCTTCCAGGATCCTCTTCTCTTCTTCAAGGGCAACCAATTGCTCTTCCTTGTTAAATTCATGATAAAACACCTGTAAACAAAACCCATAGCTTGCCAAGCATCAAACTCGGATCTTCTACTAAATGACAACAGAAAAGTACGATAACATGTCCAATGTCTAAGTAATCACTACTTTGTTGAATATTTGGACCATCAAGAGAGGAAAATAGAACACCGTGTGAGACAGCGGGATATATTTAAGTTGAGCCGATAGCAACACACGTTGCTTCGTCCCTATACCTGTGTTTGGTGCATTATAAAGTTTCCACGTTCTGTGGGTAAATGCATTCTTAATCACAAGGTTGTACCTGAATTGTAAGAGTTCCTCTATCCTTCTTGTCTTTGATTTTAAGCATATCAAGTGATGGCAGCAGCCTTAATTCAATTTCTTTTGAATTCTCAGCTTCCAGCTCAATCAGAGGTAACTTTGCAACGCCCAATCGCTCATCTTGTCCAACGTCTTTATCAAAGACCTTTATCCACAAGCAAACAATCAATCCATCACACACAGAAACAGAAAGAAAAATAGAATGAAAGCAACCGTTGTTGCATATAGAAACACTAGATGTTTCTGAAAGCAGTGTCACTGAAATTGCAATCTCATGCCAACAATATTTCAAACCCCTAATGACTCCTCGTTGTGAATTGAAGGGAACAGCAGCACAGATAACGAGTCTTCCAATTTCCCAACGATCAATCCTACTTTTAAGAAATTGATTTGACTTTAATGGCAAAAGAAAGATGTAGTCATCTAAAAAGAATACCAAGTCATCAAAGGAGTTAAAGAGTAAGCTTGTCGGGCTTCATAATATCTTCATAAGGTTCAATAAAAAAAGGACAATTGTGAAAATTTTATTGTTAAAAATATCTGATTATTTACATATTTTACATCAGATAGTATAAACAGTACATGATTGTAGGAATAATCTACATGAACCAATTAACTCAAAAATGTCACCTTCCTCTCTATACCACCACATCTAACCTTGTTTATTCATTTGATTTTCCTTCAACAAGGCCTCAATGTAGTTTATCCCTACTAACCCATAAATTAATATAGATTAGGTAGTAATTCATTGATTATTTCTATAGTACCATTTTACAATACCATTTTCCACAGAGCATCTAGAAATTTTGTTTGGTGAGTAGAAAGATCAATAAAAGCATAATTTGCTAATTTAAGGAACCAAGCATCAAATCTGGAAAGAGCATTGGTATATAGATCAAACCTCAACAATAAGAGACTGTGTCTCCTTGTCTTCTACGATTAGCTCAAACTTTTCGTTCCAAACAGGATTCAGGTTGTTATCAATAACCTTGGTTTTGACCTTGAAAAGTGGACGAATGTACACAACAACGTAGGGATCAGATTTTCCAATCAACTCCTTGTTTTTCAAGTTGTTTGCCCTCAATACAGTAACTGTAAGATTTCCCTGTGGCTTAAGCTCCAACTCCCTGTAAAAATCCAGGAAAAAAAAAATAAGAATATGCAGGTTGGAATTTGTAAATCTATATACCAAAATGGTTCCCTGGACAAGTAAAGAGATATGGCACAGATGTTACAAAACCCAATGCAATGGTTGGAAACAAATAATAAAATCACTCCTTAATAACATTTTTTGATTTTAGATGAGATCATTATATAATAAGGTACCAAAGCAGGCAAAGATCCACGGATCAATTTGAATACGCATTCTTGATAAATGCATATGTTAGACCTCTGCAGAAACATGAATGTAGCCAGCCTATGGGCATCCTAAAGATCAAGAATTAAATAGAACCTCCTTTTCCGCTTAAACTTTAGCTAAAGTGGTCATTAAATAATATCTGGACCAATGAATGGCGGTGTTGTCTTCCACGCCCATGCTTATGATATGGCATTATCTGCCATGCCCATGCTAAAGATAGAGAACCGAATGTCACCCCTCTTTTTTAGATTAAACTTTTAAAAAGGTGGGGTCATTTAATAAAACCATGGACCAATGAATGTCGGTGTTGTCTTCCACGCCCATGCTTATGTGGTGTCAATCAGATTAGTAGTTGATTGAATTTCAATATTACAGAGGTGCAGTTGCAGTACCAGAGTTGATACTGTCAACTTCACTAAAACCAAGCCTTCTTGAAGACTAAATTGAACTTCAGGCAATGATATATCCACTGGAGACTTCACTAGTCATTGGACTAAATTGTTCCCTTATTTAGGACAGATGGAAGCAGGTTATGGATCTGTTCAAGTTGGTCGATCAATCCTTCTAAAGAGTTCTTAAACCAGTTGTACAAGCTCAACTTTTCTTCTTCCTGTTGTTTGATAGTTAAGAGCTAGAATTTTAAGTTGCGGGGATCTTGACATATATTGAAGGAACTATACTTTAATTGTTGCTAAATTATCAAACTGCGTGTTGCAATAGGAATAAAACAGAGAATACCCAAGCAAGAGGCTGAGAGAAAGGAAAATGAAGAAACGAGATGACAGTACTTGGAAGATGGAGAAGCAGGCCGGAAAAGTGAAGTACCTGGTGTCTACAGGTATGCCACCAATAGGAACAACAATCCTGTGGGGCCATTGAAGCATATCTGTGATGATTGAAGTAACAGTATCCTTACAGAAAAAAGCACGGTCAATTCAAATAACATTCATATAATTTGACTAGAGAGGAAAGTATGAAAACTTACATCAATCATATCTGAAAGCCCAGGAATGGCCGTTAAACTTCCACCAATAGCCTTCAGAGTATAATCAATTCTTGGCTTGGGCTGATTGACACAAAAAGGTGTAAACCATATCAGAATAGTCAAATCATATCTTCTCATAAGAAAAGTTTCTTTTTGGATTGAATGAGCTTTAGTGATAAATGGTGGAATTTTATGTATGGATGTTTATGTAACGAAAACTTGGGAAAATATAATTTTAAAAAAAAATGCAGAAACATGAGACTTATTATGTCACTCTCCAATGGCAGTTAGAAGCTAGGAATTAACACTTGTCACATTGGGGAACTGATAGAGTATACAATTCCAATTAAGTGATCGTGGAAGTGATTTTTTGAAAAGTGGTTTTTTATTTTTTATTTTTAGAATGTGTGGTTAAAAAAGTAGGGAAAAGTTATGGCAAAACGTTAAAATTGATTATTATTATTATTATTATTATTATTATTATTATTATTGTTAGGTTTTAGATCTTTTGTAATTGGCAATTATGTAAACAAAAGGACTGAATTGTACTATGATTAAAGAGTCTAGGAGTAATGTGCAAATAGTTGAAAATAAGGTTATTAGGTCTAGGGTTCGAGAATGGCAAAANAAAAAAAAAAAAAAAAAAGCAGAAATATGAGACTTACTATGTCACTCTCCAATGGCAGATAGAAGCTAGGAATTAACACTTGTCACATTGGGAAACTGATAGAGTATACAATTCCAATTAAGTGATCGTGGAAGTGATTTTTTGAAAAGTGGTTTTTTATTTTTTATTTTTAGAATGTGTGGTTAAAAAAGTAGGGAAAAGTTATGGCAAAACGTTAAAATTGATTATTATTATTATTATTATTATTATTATTATTATTATTATTATTATTATTATTATCAGGTTTTAGATCTTTTATAATTGGCAATTATGTAAGCAAAATGACTGAATTGTACTATGTTTAAAAAGTCAAGGAGTAATGTGTAAATAGTTGAAAATAAGGTTATTAGGTTTAGGGTTCGAAAATGGCAAAAAAGGAAAATGGCGCGGATTTTTGCTAGACTGTCGCTAAGGTTTGACTCAAGCTACAAAAGCAGAAACATTGTCGCTAAACTGTCACCCATCCTTCGCTCGAGCGACATACTGTCGCTCGACCTTCGCTGAGCCCTCGCTCGAGCGAAGTGGTTATCCAGGAAATTTTTATTTCGCGATTTAAAAACTTTTTACCCGGCCCATTCGTTTTCTAACCTACCTATACATACCAAAACACATTTGTACAAAAATCAGGGAAGTTGAACATTGAGAGAGCTTCATCTGTGAGAGATTCATTCTATTTTATTTTTCAACGTTCGTCTACTTTGATTGTTTTGGTGAGAAAAACATCGTTCCTATAATCTAAATACCAAACTGCCTTTCCTCTACATCTGGTCAAAGTTCTGAAGATCGAGGGAATTTGACTGGAGTTTCAGTTTGTGAAGAACAAGGTGTTCTTCGTTGATACACAGGAAATAGACGACTCCACAAGGCTAGGAGTGCTACAAGGTAGCAGATTCCACGGAGAGTTTTGGCAACAACAGCTAAGGTTGGTGCAGGGAAACACGAAATCCAGAGAAAGCTGTAAGGAGTGCAGTCGAGAGATCAGATAGTATGGGTCATCTAGTCTGATAGACTGTAAGTTGTTTGAATTGTTGCATGGCAAAGTACCCGGAGTTTTTCCCAATTGGGTTTCTCCGTGATCATCTTAGTGCTGATTTACTGTTTTTGTTATTATTTATTGATTCATCATATAAACTGCTGTATTCAAATTTAGGACTAAAATGACTAAAAAGTGACTTGTTGCTGTTTAATTCATAAAATATTTTTAATTCTGCATAATATACCTGTTCATCCCTCTCTAGGTATTGTTAGGGTTGAACTGCGTAACTTTCAATTATTATTATTATTATTTTGGAGAATGTGTAGTTGAAAATGAGGATGGACAAAAGTGATTTTGAAGATTCACTTCCACACTAGCACTAAATATGACCAAATAATTCAAAAAACTAAAAAATTAACTGGATGATGATGAAGCAACAGCCAGTGACAAGCATTTTCTTCAACCTTCTATGATTAAGAAGTTCAAACCTGACTTGAAAAATCATATGTACAAACATAGACAAGACATATCAGTAAACTTCATATAATAGATCATGAACTCTATTTTGTAGCTCTCTCGTCAATGGACTTCTCTCATTCAATATATCATCTTAATACTTTGATCATTTATCAACCAACAAGCATTTAGTCAGTGACAAATGCAAATAACAATGAAAATCTAGACCAAGAAAAATCATCACAAACTTAAGCAGAGTCTTCCCTGTCTTAGTATCTTTGACCTAGAATAGATATATTCACCTTGACAGTAAATTTTGCACCATTCACCTCTGAGCTACCTTCTTATCAAATTAGATTCGAGAGGGATCTCTGCACAGTACTCATGATTTTTTCACCCAAATAACATTTTGCAGTCCCCTTTGGTTACTCAAAGACCTCAGTATCTATTCTATTCAATCCCCCAAGCTAAGAAAAGTAAATCGACATGTACAGTCAAGAATATACCTCAGCAAGTAGAGCAACCACAACTGCAGAGATGCAAGGAATTTCTTCTGCAAGCTGGAAAATTGCACGAACTACTGTAAAAACTTTAAGATCCTTCAACTGCAGCGAATATAGAACAGCAACGTCACTATATTAAAGTTAAGAATACAACGATGTGAATGATAGTTATTGAAAAACAGATACAAATCAAAACTTGTAAGACAGCAACTAGGTTGTTGGTGTGGTGAAATATCTGATGCACCAACCTGAATCGGGATAGAAGCAACAAGTGCAGCCTCAATGGCTAAAATAATACTTGGATCACCACCCCATCGGAGGTCAATGTCCATTGTAATTTGACCTTCCTTAAGGCTCTGGACACGAATACCTGCACCAATCAAGTAATTATGAATGCAATACCTTGGTTCCATCGAATCCCGGAATTTTTATTTTCCAAGAAATATGGCTGTGACCTAAACTTAGAAGAGTCTCTTTAAATCATAACAAAGTCCTATAATATGTGATGAAACATTAGACAACATTAACGCAGCATCAAAAGAACAATCTTGAGCAAAAAATGGCTAATACTAAGATGTGCAGTTCTCCATTACATTTTGTTTCCATCAAAGGATGTCAAATCAGTAATTAAGCCTTGGAAGCATGTTTTTCTTGGTTCTTTACAATTAAGCTGGTTCAACTCTGTCTCCTTCAGCATTTCATTCAAAAGGTACCGAGGTGGCAGATGGCTAAGATGGAAAAAAATATAAGAGTACTTAAAAGACACCATTCATTTATAATTTTTCAGAGCCCTTGAGCACGTCCGATTCAAGTTCACAACTGTCTAATGACTAGTTGGAGGTAAGCCAACTATTATCCACCGTTTTGACCATAAAAATGGCACTACTCAATTAATTAAAATGTAGGAGATGTCATCCTAGGTTTCTTAAAGTGCTCTTCTATCATAAACAAATACAGTATTTTGACCTACTTTGATTTCAATAAAAAGATCATTTAAGTTGATGGAGACACACTAGTTTTATCCAAACAACAGCAATGTAGTGATAGAGGCATAGATCAATCAAACAAATTATATTTCCGATATGATAAAATTTATCAAGATACCAACAAAATGAGTTTTTAGATTGATAGAACACCAAAATTAGTCAGTCAACAATTGAAAGAGATGTACTTGCTATTCCATTAAATAAGTGGTACTTGTAAGATTCTAAGAACTGCAAGCATGCTTAGTACGACAGACAAGGTTTTATATTCATCTGCCTCCTAACAGCAAAGCAATCTTTGCACCGTCAATATAACAAAATAATCCTTGTTTCCAATAAATTTTGGGTCAGCTATGTGAAACTTTTTACATGACCATGTTCGAAGATAAAAAGCAACTAGATAATGGACATTGAGAAAACCTAAAAAGTCAAACAAAAAGGTGAATTACAACATCCAAAAAATTTAAGCAAATGGAAGTTTCTATAATAATCAACGAAGGTTTGCTCAAGTTGACATCAAACCACCAAAAAGATCAAGCAACATCAGGTCAGACACGAAGCATGAGGAAAAAGACGAAGACATTATGTTTCCATGAGTCAGTCAGCATAGCTTGATACCTTCAATCTTCGGAGCCACAGTTCCAAGAGACAGTTTGCTAAACTTCATTGATGTAATGCCTGGACGTCGATATTCTTCCAATAAAGGTTCGACAGAATCTTTTATAATAGCCTCTGCTGCCTGGAAGAATTACGATCAAGAAAATCAGCAATGTGAACTCATGAAGTGGAAGGTCATTATCAATGTCAACAGAATGATGAGAGAATTTAGTTAATGATAAAATCAGATATTGGTTTACGAAGATAGATATTCCGCACTAGAATCGAAGAATTATATATTAACATACACATGATGTATATGCCTGTACAATGCACAAGCTACACCTAGTAGATTATTGAGAAAAGAAGAGAGAGAAGCATACATCTGCAACAAATGGCCACAGTTTACTCAATTGCTTGTTTAGCCATTTCACCTGAAAGAAGAAGCAAGCAACATAAGATAAATTCCATGAAGGGCTAACAAAAAATGAGTGCAACATTGATGGCTCGAATGTGTCCCAATAAGAAACAATAATGCTTCTTGAATACATAAGTTCCATTCAAGTGTGGTGGAAGTCAAATAGTTTATTTTCAACCAAAATCTTTTTCCTAATGGGTAATCGTGCCAAAGAAACGCGTAACAAAACATAAAAATCAACATTACAATATTGAAGGCTATATTGAGCATCAAAAGCAAACTCATAAACTTCATGAAGTAAAATAATTTGTTGTTTAATCTCAACATGAAAATTAAGAATATTAACAACAAAGTTTGGAGCCAAAACAATATGACGGTAATTAGTAGACAACAATCGAATATGAATAAGAAAAGTATACAGGAGAACAATTACCTTGGATAACAACATGGCAACCCATGGAGTATCATTCAATTGACGTAATGTCATAACAAAGTAAATGTTAAAGTCTAGGCAATAACAATGTGGAATGTTTGACTTAGGTGGCAACGACATAGCTAATTTTCCAACTATGTTATTGTTAATTGTATCAATTATCGGTAAAATCACGAAAGGGAATGCAATACAATGCTCAAAACTCTTGTCCTCAACAACCAACTTGTCTCCATATATGATGTTGCTACTCCAATCAATCGTATCATTAGTCCCTTTGCAAAGGGAAGGGACAACTGCATTATAATCATTGAAACAAACCTCTAAAAATTTTATAGTTTATGTCGAGTAAGGTTTGATCTTGACGCTACACTTCTCAAAAAGTCTCTCTACCAAATTCATTGCAAAAGGAAAAACTTCTTATTGTTCTTTTTCACACTAACCAAAAGGAGGGCAAGCAATTCTAGAGAAAGATTATTGCTTACTTCCAATATAAGAATCAGAATTATCTTTATGGATGAGAAGATGTTCTCTAGATGATTTTCTCTAAGTGCCATAAGAAAAAAATGTTGGAACTTATCAATTATCATTTGTTTACATTCTAAATCCAATATGATGGCACAATACCTCACATTTGCCATATTTCCAAGTATCCTAGCTCCCTTTAACATACAATTTAGTAGATTTTTCAGAGAGAAATGCAAATGAAGAAAGATATCCTTCATTTTTTTCATTATCATATGGGGCATCAGGTGCAATATTTTAGATTATTTCACTTAGGCAAGAACCCTAATTACGTTTCCTAAAATAAGTATTCAATTTGGAAAGTATTCCATATAATATCTCTATTAGGATTACTATCCCTTGTACTGGGCATATTCTCTTAATTTCTAATTTCATAACAAAATCAATCCTACTTTGCTTTCCTTTCCAAATCACAAGACTTTAAAGTTCTGACTAATGGTCATAATCAAATTAATGTACTCCTCTTAAATTGTAGCTGCAGTTGAGATAAAAGATTGTTATAGAACCTCAAACTCGGAAGCAACCAGGTTAAGTAATGAGGCAATGAGAAGCTATAAACCACTCTCCATTCTTGTTCATTTGGGTTTTCTCTTTAAGATCTCAGAATCTATCCTTCAGCTTGTTGAATGCGTGCATGTCTCAACCAAAAAGGAAAAGGATAAATAGACCAAAAGAAGATTACTCAAGTTTACAATAGGCAGTACATCAGAACAATTGATCCCACTGTATAATTCACCAAGTAAATAAGCTGTAAATAAAGTAAAATGAAAGAAGCTCCCACAATAATCGTCCAAGCATTCAATGTATTTAAAACAATGCTCACTGCTTGATTGGTTATGTAGTTGCTTGCAGTTTTATCAATTTATGTCCTGTGCTGTGCAGTGTCCTTTCCAACATACCAATCTAAACTCGTAATTACAAAAAATATTAAGACCCAGTGCTACCAATGATACAACAAGAATGCTAAAGAGCAGGTAAATAAACCACAAAACCATTACAATCATAATATGTTTACTTTTCAAAGGTCCAAAGCAGTCAGGAAAAAGAATGAAGTATTATGACCTGTTCAAAAACAGGAAAAGATATCCATTCTGGAAAATTTTCGCCACAGATTTTCTTCAAATCATCCCTGTTGAGAGAGCTTAATGATTTAATATCAACTGCCTGGAAAAAAACACAGAGAAAAAAAAATGTTTACAGTTATTGTCACAATTGCTCAATATAAGTAAACCAAAAATATCAGATAAATCTAACAATGTACCTAGCCAAATTTCAATAACAATACTCCTGCGAACACAACTATGACACTAACAATGACAGAAAACTATTTTATAATAAAAACTTCCATGTTCTTTTCAATTAAACAAGTAGACTTCAATTAATACCACTAACTATTCACATTTTAATAAAAGGGCCGAGCATGATTCTACTCCCAATTTCCAAGTTAAAAAACTTATCAAAGAGGTGAAAAACATGATTATCACCAGTAAACCTTAAGAAATCCTTAAACCGAGAAAATCATAAATATAAAGAAATTGAATTCAAGAAAATAAAGAAAAATGAAAGAACCTTAGCAATGCGCTTGTTGCTCCTGTACCGCATCATTTGCTGCCAACCAGCCATCAACGCGATCCCGAAAACAATTCCCATCAACATTCCCGATATCAACCCCATTTTCCCTTTTTCCTTTTTTCCCCTTCCACAATCTCAACCCTTGATTTCAAATTTCAAACTCTCTGGAAAGTTACAGAATTCCCAACTTCTATAAACTGTAACAAATATTTCTATTACCGTTACTAATCCTGATACTATTAATGATCTTCAATTATTTCATGTGTTTCGTTGTCAAACTTTGTTTTCATACAGCATATTCATCCACAAGATTTGGATTTCTGAGCCAGGGGAATGGGGTTTATTTCTTCGTGTATAACGTATATGTGTATATGCTTTATACCAGTTTTAACTTATCAATGTACATATTACAATACCCCATAGGCGCAGATGTGCAATCAAGCAAGGTAGTTGTCCTACTTACCTGTCGCCTTTATGGGCCTGAATTAAATATTAATATCAATACGTTTATTTCTAGGTCTCTGTTTGGGAATTTTGAAATTCGTTAAAATTAATTTTCATTTGTCACAGGGTATACTTGGTCTGGTCCACTTACTTTAGAGGTGCTGGCCGGGACGGGACGGCACGGGATTATATTTACCATCCACGGCATGTGCATGCATGTGGACAATGTTCGTCTAATAAACAAATTTTAGGCTTTTAAGAAGAACGTAGACGACTTTTTTATTTATCATTGGGGATTTGAATTTCTCTCAATGTCGGAATTAAAAAAGAACTGTGACGATAAAATTAAAATCTTAATAGTCAACCTATTCTTTGCCCATAAAAATAAGTGTAATTGAAATGCTGTTTTTACAATTGTTATTTCTTCTTATAATTGAAAATAGACTTATGTCACTTTACATATCCCATACAAAAAATAAGAGGAAAATCGACCTCTTTATATCAAATATTAATGTCAAAAGACTGTGTGCAACGTTTTTCAAACAAAAAAGTGTTAAAGTCAGAAAACATTTCTCAATATTTTTATAACCTATCTCAAGCCTGCAGGAATGAGAGAATAACAAGAAGCAATAAGAATAACCAGCAAATGCCAACACCAGCCCTCATCCCACCATTATTAGATGGATTTGTCACCACTGATATGGGGGGTGACTGCCCCTCGTCTGATGGTACTGGTGGCGGAGCATAGGGTGGTGGTGGCGGTTGGCTAAGGCTTAGGGGAAGTCCTAATCCATGGCCAACTTTAATCTCAAAGGCCATACCATGCTGACATTGTTCCCCATCATCGGCATCTGAGAAGTAGTATTGTGCACCCTCGATAGTCAGTGGCACCGGTATAGTCAATGTCTGCCCAAATTCGTTGCTGCCACCGTCGTACTGGAATGTATCGCTATCTAAAGCATCATCCGTAATGCAGCTGTCATAAGTTGTCTTATTGTAGGTTTGGATCACTGTTTCGTTTGTGATTGTATTAAATACTGCACAAGACAAAATGAGACTCAAGTTTAGATAAAACTAGCAGTCAAGCACAGCTATACCACGAATTAGTATTCAGTTCTTTTGCTCAGTAAGTACACGTTCGCACCCATTACCAGAATACATTGACTGTCTCATAAACAATATTTCAACTTATTTTCTTCCATAATACTTCCTCTTCATCGAACATATAATACAAGATTAGATTCACAACGCATCACAAGAGCGGAACTGTTATTAAAATGAAAAAGATTCGGATTTAGAATACTAGTGAAAGAGGAACATGATTGAAAAAAGGTCACAACTCATCAAAAAATTTCCAATGATGAAACAAAAAGGAACACACACAAATAAACCCATAGCATCATGTGTTTCAACTAAAGCTTTTCTTGTTTCTACTGTTTTCGTGGCACATAACACATTACCCCCCTACTGAAGTACAAGAACAAGTATAGAATTAAGTTCAAATCCAAATTTCATACCAAAATCATGTTATCATTATGCAGTTTTACCCCATCTGCGTAACATAATGCTTACCTGTTTAAGGGAACAGATAATAGATTTGAAAATTTTACTGCTTCCCAGCCCTTGGCCTCCTAAAATCAACCCGGCAAATATGAATGACCAGAAAATTGGAGAAGGAAATAAATTGATAATGTCTGCTAAATTTACTTAATTAATTAAAGCGGGACATTCCTTTGATATGCTTTTAAGTGATTTCCAAGCCTATTAAGCAATTTTCACAGGCTAGAGAGTAAAGAGAAGGAAAAGAACATAAAACAATTGCAGGAGTTCTTTACAGTCACATTTCATCTTTCCTAGACCAAGCAACAAACATCTTTTGTGCATTCTATATTCTTTCCCCAAAGTCTAAGTAATCTCACGCTCAATGTCAAATCAGTACGAACTACTAGTATGGATACAGGAACTGAAGAGAAGCAACAATTTTATGGAAGAATGTACAGATTACATAATGCAAATTTGTTGAGATTGTTGATTGATTGAACAACTAAGCCTCATTCCTAATAAATTTTGGATCGGTCACATCCATCTCCATCCCCCAAGCAATCGGTCAAATTGAAACACCAATTACATGGAAACTGACTTATTAGTGATTAAGCAAATTTACTTCCGAATTTATTATTAGGATCGAACAAAGTAACAATAGTTAGTTCGTTTCAACCCAAAATCGATATGTCCCGAAGAATTCTTGAAATTTAGAGATCATTAATCGCAATCAAACGATTCTATATACCCAATGGAAGCAAATGCCAAGAAAATCAGAGGGCAAGAAATCCCAGATCAAAAATCCAATAATGTGATCAAACCAGGAATATTGAAACTAGAAAAGTCAGCTTTAACTTAGAAAACAAGCAATTAGCATAGCATCAACTTACTTAAAAAGTCGCCAAGATTGAAAGTCTGTTTGGCAGCCCAAGCAGTGAAATCCGCAGAAGTTTTATTGGTGTTGGAGTTGAAGACCCAACCGGCAGAGTCACCCACAGTGTGGTTGGTGTACCTGGTTGTACCATCAGATGCAGCACCATTAATCAGCAAAGCCATTGCCGCCATTGCCAGGTACAACGCTATTGCCGCCATTGATGTGGGCTGTGGCTGAATCTAATCAAACTTGTGATGATTGATCTGGAAATGCTGTATGTGACTTTTGAATGTTAATGTACGAAAGTGCGTAACAAGTACAGTAGATTTGTCAACGGAAGGTTGTTAGTTTGTCTTTGTATTTACGTAGCTAGTCATGTGACTTACATAGGAACGTTGGATGGAAGTGTTCTGTCATTACTTCTTTTTGAACAGAGATAATGACAAAAAAATGCCCATACAATCTTTTATTCACCGACAAGCAGAATAAACTCAGATTTTTTTTTAAAAAAAATTGATCTCTAATCTTTAAAATAAATAATTTGATTCTTAATTTTTTTTTTATTATTATTATAGTTGAACAATTGATGAATCCTTAGAGCATCTCCAACATAATTGTAAATATTTTTTATGCAATGCAATGGGAATGAATTCGCTGTCGTGGTATCAACTACAGTCAAGGATGGTACTAGGAAACCGTAGATGTATCCGTCAGTCAATTGAAACCATAGCACAACAAAGCAGCAATGTTGTTTTGCAGCAGGATCAACTGATTGAGCATTTGTAGACTTGGTTGCTGGTTCTCATGGAGGCGGTGGAAGGCAGGCTCATTGTTGAAGCAGTCGAGTCCCTCATAATGGTGTTTCTCCACGGCGTAAGGGCTGTGGTGATTCATTTCACAGTCCAAGTCCACGGCCAATGATGGGTCAAATTGGCCATATGACGATAATACTCTGATAAAATAACTGTACATTGGTATTATTGGATCAAAGCTAACCAAAGATCGTTATCTCGTCCATTTCGACAAATAAGATTGGTATTATTGTAATGATCAATCCCAATGCCTATCATCTCAAGCTTCCTAGTCATGTGTGTACTTGGTGTGTTAAATGTGAAGTATCTCATTCCTTGTCTATCATGGGGATGAAATCGAGTCCAATTGAGGCAAATCGTCTTTAACTTGGGAGAATGACGGGGATGAAACTGCTCTGGCGTTTCTAGACAAATGGAGTCGCATGACAATCAAGATAAAGATACCAGGATGAGCATCTTCGGTACATCAGGCACACAGACGACCCTTATGGGTTCGTCCAGATAGTTAGCGTAATCTGTTATTTTAGCGACAGTTTGTTTTATGCTTTCATAGGGTTTTTGCAGTATTTAATCTATTGGTTTGCATTATTGAGCGGTGGATTATTTTTTATTAAAATTTAATATAAACATGAGAAGTTTTCTCTATTATTGATCTCGATTTGAATATTGTTGACCTTGTTTTCGGGGTGACTTGGTCAACAGATCTCGACTTCTCTTATGTCCATGTAGTTTTTTCCCCCATACTTCGACAAATTATTAGAGTACTTGGTATTCTCCGAAGGCAATTGCGAGCATTTCGACAGTTAAGTCAGTCTATACATCTTAGAGTAAGTATTTGGCCGTAGGAAGTGCTAAAGACATGAGTCACAATAAAAGGTGGTTTGGATCCAAGAATATAGAGAGAATAATGAGAGAGCAAAGTTATAGTTGAAAGTGTAAAATGACATTACCTTCAAATGACACTAGACGTGACTTTTTATAGTAGTAGAGGATAAATAATAGGATGATACTACATGTACACCTCATGCATTACACAATCTTTTACACCCATCACATGGAGGGGGGCCCACACATAATAAAATAATCGTGGGCCCCCCTCCATGTGAGGGGGTGTAAAGGATTTTGTAAAAAATTATGTACACATAGCTTTATTCTAAATAATAACCATTGGATGAAGAGACATGTGACCTCATCTTAACGATTGAGGCTCCTTGTCTTATACATCATTCCATCAATCATAGGCTCGTGCATTTAATGTTTTGACCATTTCCAGCCATATGTCCTTGGTTGTACGGACTACACTTGACATTTTGACTTAGAAGAGTGACTGCTACAACGAATGGTTACATCAATCAATCATGAAAAATCCTTGCATCGCCTCACCCCTTCATGGTTGGACAAAATATGCCATATGGGCAAGATGGTGAGTGTGAGCCTGGATTTGCTAACTATGTGATTGCTATGTGGCCACTTTTTTTAGCCTCGCTGGAAGAGGTGTAACAAGTATCTTAAGGATTTTAATCTTGATTGTTGTCACTACAAGAAAAAAGGCATTTTGCAACATGCAAAAGGCAACATTCATCAATTACATGTTGCTAAAAGGGGTCTATGACAACTTTCAGCAAGTGAATGTTGCTATTGGTTGAAACCATTTCATAATGTTTTACACTATATTTTAGCATACATTTGATGACATACCAGAGATTGATATGCTTGAAAATGTGGAAATGGGAGAGCAAAAGCTGAGGAATGAAGCTTATAAGGCTGTAAAGAAGAAAATTGGGATTTATGATGACAAGTAAGATTAGCCACATGAATTTCTTAATAATCTCTCATGAAGCCTAGATGCTTAACTCCTTTTCATGGTTTAATATTAGATTTAATGATGAGCCCGATGAAATTTTGAATTTATTTCTTGATTCTTGTTTCAGGGGATAACTCTTGATGCAAGTGGACATTTTACTGGTGAAGTAAAAAAGAAACTGGGTGAGGCAAGTTATTTGTGCTGATGTGTATAGTACTAGTTTCCATTAATACAACTAGAATTATGATGGACACGAGTCATTATTTGTGCTGATGTGTATAGTACTAGTTTCCATTAATACATGAGAAAGAAAAATTTGGTCCGTAGGTGATAGCCCCAATTGCTACCTCCAGTGCCAATGATTCAACTGCGGACAAACAAACTTCTGGGTCTGGAAAGCCACAAGAGAACAAGGTTGTCTTCACGGAGATGGAAGAATTTGTCTGGGGTCTTCAGCTTGATGAAGGTAATCTCTGAGAGTTCTGTGTTTTTGTATTGCCATTAACTATTGCATTTTTTCTCTTAGTTATTTACTTCACAGATTATTTAGTTTCTGGTGTATTTTTTTGGCAGATCAAAAAAAGATTATGAAGGGGAATGTCGTGGAAATAGCAATGTGAACTTAATTGGGGCAACATTTGGCTCATATCAGCCTTCATTTGCTACTAAGGCCAGGCTCATGTCGAAAATTACTGAGAAGAAAATTAAGGAGGCCGGTGGGACTGTTTTACTCACTGCTTAGGGCTTGCGGTAGTTTTTTTTTTAAATGTATTAGATTTTTAGGTGCTTCAGAATTTTGGATTCAAATTTTGTATGGATATTGTTACATTTTGGAGTTTAATTAACGATGATTATTGGAGTTATTTGATATTGTTATCTTTTATTTTGTTTTGTGGTTGATTTATGTAAATCATTGTATAAATAAAA